AAAATAATATGATAAAAATAAACAAACAAAATAGAATGAATTGAAGAATTCAATTGTTTAAATATTCGACTTTTTCGTCCAAATGTTTTCGTTGTTTGTAAACAATCATATATAAATAAACTAAAAAAAAATGTTAATAAATATGAAATAAATAAACAAACCTTCCATCTCGTGTTCCTAACCATATTGTAGCTTGTCTTGTATCTTGTTGTTCATTATTAAAATGAGTTTCAGATAAATTTGATGATGAATAATTTAATGATAAATTATCCTCATTATTTATTTCTTCATCATCACTTGAATCTATTTCAAGTAATGAATCAATTATTCTTGTTTTTCTATAATTATTTAATTCTTCTTTGCTAATTAAATTTTGTTTATCATTATGATGATCTTGTTTAGCTATATTTGATGATCGACGAGTTTTATTTGATGGAATATATCCAATACAATTTATTCCTGATAATGGAATTTTATTAGAAGTTTTTAATGTTGCATTAGATTCAATATTAATTAAACATATATCACCATCAGTATAACATAAACATAAATCATCCGAATAAGAACGAACAACACCACATGAAAACTAAATAATAAAATATTTATTTGTTTTTAAAAAGGAAAACAAAACAAAACAAAACAAAACAAAATAAAACGAAACAAACTTGACTTCCTGGTCGAGTATGTGGAAGAGTAAGAACATGTTGAAAACTAATGTTTCTTCGTCCAGCAGTAGTTTCAACTGAAAATAAAACCATAAAAATATAATTTAATTTAATTTAAACATACACAGGATTTTTGTAGCATCAAGAAAACTTTTTTCCCATATTATTTTATCTTCAGATGATGTAAAAATGACATCAATTGTTTCTGTACGTTCTCTATTAAAATAAATAATAAATAATAAATAAATATTCAATATTAATTAAATGAAAAATATTTATTTAAAATACGTTGTATGTATAATTAATTGAATATTATTTGATTTTTGTTGTATATTATCAGGAATAATAATTGGTTCAACAGTTGTATTTTGATTATTTGTTGTAGATATTGTTTCATCATTTAATTGTTTATTTATATTATTAACAGTTTCTTTTATTAAATCATCTAATTGCTATTAATATATATTAATTGAATAATATTTATTTAAGAAAATAAATTCAAATAAAAAATACCTGATGAGGTGTAGTTATTGTTTTAGCTAAATTGCTAATTTGTCCAAGAATAATAAAATCTTCTTCAAGATTTCGATGTTTTTCTGACGTTGTACTTGTTATTGATTGAGATTTTAATAATAATGGAGATATTGATATTGAAGATTTTCTTTTTTTTAAATTATCTATTTTTGAAAAAAAAAAAAAGAAAAGAAAAGAAAAGAAAAGAAAAGAAAAAGCTTTTTTTCTTTTTATTCAACATTTAATTCCTATTGATTAAATTGGTAAACTATCTTGAAAAAATAATTTCTCATTGTAAGTATCGTAAAAATGAAAATCGTTAAATCTCTTAAATAGATTAATCTACTCTTTATTCATCATATACGAATATAATGATTTATGAGATTTATTTTATTATTTTGAATAGAGAAATAAATAAATAAATAATCATAAATAGTTTTTTTTTTTAATTTTGTTGGAATAATTAATATATAATATTATTTTATATTGAAATAAATATATATTAAAAGTAGATCTTCATTACAAAAATCAATTTTATTGATAGTTTTTTTTTTTTTTTAATTATTTTAAATATTCTATATTGAAAATATGAAGAGTTTTTGTTATATTTATTTTCCGAAAAGTTGAAATACATATTAGTAGATTCAAAGAGAATCATAATTTTAAAAAAAATGTTAAAAATTAACTTTTCCAATGTTGACTTCGTATAAAATTTGAAATAAATTATTGAAATAATCGTACTTCATGATATATAAGACTTTATTAAGAGTATAATATAATAATATTTATCAGAAAATATATAATACCAAAAATAAGTTTTTATTTAATTCTAAGTTAAAAATACTTCGACTTAATAAAAAGATAATTAGATTTTTAATTTTTAAAAAATGATTGAAATAAATATATAAATATAGGTTTTTTTTAATGATTTGACAAATAAAATATTTATTTTTGAGAAACAATCGGATTAGAACTAAATTTAAAAAATCATGATTGACTATTTAAATAAAAATCATTTAAAAGTTTTTTTTTTTT